CATTAATGTCAATGATATGTTTATTTTGATTTTGTTATGCATATGTTATCAAAATAATAGTGTATTAATCATCATGTTGAAAATTACTTCATTTATGTGACGTCATTAGATGTTGTAATTAGGTGTTTATGTGATTGTCGAAAAATAGTTACATTTACTAGACCGCAATGATTGATACCCTAGATTTATCTAGTATACTAGGCGTGTCAGGGTGATATAGAGATATACACCTATCTCAGGTGACCCGTCGAGTATTTTCACAAAAACTCATTCAATTGGTTATTTTTTTATCGACATAGAGATATCGTGTCTTTTTAGTTTAAAATTCAAGTTTTTTTTTGTTTAAATGTGTGTGTCGTTTTCGTTAATTTGAATCAATACGCTAGTAATCAAGCCAACACTCTTAGTGGGATCGACTTGGACTTAAAATGTCCATTATACTACTTATTCTCGACCCGTGCACTTGCGGCATAGTATTTCAAGCGAACAAGTTTTTCGCGCCGTTGTTGGGGAGTATTTTTATCAATTTACTAGTTTAATTGTCATTTACTTTAACGAACTTTATTTCTTGTTTTTAACTTTATCCTTTAAATCCAAAAGTAAGTTTGTCTTCGGATTTTCAAATTTCCAAACTCGTTGAATTTATATACATCGTTCGCGAAGTCTCGATCTTCTCGAATTTGATCCAGAAATTGAAGAGACTTTTCGAAAGAGGTTGCATGAACAGAACGAGTTAAGGAGAAGACAACAACTGGAAATGGAGCAACAAGGAGGAAATGGAGACCCAAATGCTCGACCCGAACATAATCCTCGGGATGATATTCCACCCGGTTTCGATAACTAGGCTGGTAGAATCCAAAATCCCGTGGTAAATGAAGAAAATATGTTGTTTCGGGATTTCTTTAACCGTCCTGTGGTAGAAAATCAAGCGAGCATTATCTATCCTTCTTACGGTCATCCAAATTTCCAACTGAGTCCGGATGTGATCAATTTATTCTCCAACACCATATCATTTTATAGGAGAATAGATGAAAACCCTCATACTCACGTTGCTCGATTTATGGAAATTGTTAGCAATTTCACTTATGAAGGTGTGAGCGAGAATGCTATCAGAATGAGGTTA